AACAATACCCCTTGCCGCTCATCGATGACCAGATTGCAAGACTATGTGGTGAAATGAAATTACGATTAATAGACTCAAGCAAAACAGTGCAGCGGCGACCGTATAGACTCAGCCCTGAAGAAAAGCTAACAGTTCGGTCACAGATAAGTGAGTTAATAAAATGTAACATCATTAGACCCAGCTGTTCTCCGTACGATAGCCCTATTTTGCTTGTAAAAAAGAAAATCGGTTGGGTCGATTATACCCCTTGCCACTCATCGATGACCAGATTGCAAGACTATGTGGAGCTAATTATTTTACTTGTTTAGACATGTCTAGCGGATATCATCAAATACCAATGCACCCTGATTCGGTAGAATAAACTGCGTTTGTAACGATAGAAGGTCAATACGAGTTTTTGTAAGTTTGTGCCTTGATTTTCACAAATTATGAAGCGACTCTATTCTCTTACATCAGTGAAGGAAAGCTTTTCTTGGAATGCAGAGCTTGAAAGGATTCGAAAGAATGTCAATACCATTCTGACAAATGAACCAGTTCTTGTAATATTCAACCCAGAATATCCGATTGAATTACATACAGTTGCGAGTTCCTGTGGCTATGGTGCTATGTATGTTGATGCATCGAATCAATGGCAATCCTCATGTAGTAGAATATTTTAGCAAAACCATTTCCTCCGCTAAGTCAAGATATCATTACCCTGGATTGGATACTTTGGCAGTTGTTGAAGCTGTTAAGCGTTTTCGTCACTGTTTAGAGGAGGATATCGAAGTATATCACCTTGACGCAAATATATATAAAAACGACAAATTGGCTTTCTATATACAGCTGTGGCATAAATAATAGCACCATGACACTCAATTTTCTGTATTGAAGGATTTTTCTTAAACAGTGGTATTAATGAACGGTTTAAGAACTAATATATATACTTTAGGATGTAATCTAATGTTTCCGAAAGTAATAGTTTGTATTGCAGACTTCAAACGAAAATTACACTACTCGACAAAATCGAACTTTTTTTTTCCTCAAGGATCCATACCGACTTTTTCTGATAGATATGGGGATTTAAAATTTTTCAAAGAATTATGGTTTTTTTTCTATGGCAGAACTTTTTTTTGAAGAATTTTTGAAAACTGGTATTTTTTTTTGAAGCTTTTTTCAGAGGTAGCGCTTGTTTTTTTCACATAGCTCTAGTATCTTACGTCTGGTTGTAAAGAACTTTGCTATTTTGAAAAGATAATTAAAACAGCTAGAAGTAAAGCCCAAACACTTTGTCATTACAGCTTACCGTCTGGGAAATATAAAGCATTGAAATGCAAAAATGATGATTTTTGTGCGGTATTTTTTACGAAATTTTGACTTTAAAACTGCCAGCTGCCAGTTGGGAACAAAGCAAACGAACAAGGGTTGTACATTTGGTACCTGATCGCGTTCCTTTGTTCCCAATGGGCAGTTGGGCTCGCAACCTTCCAAAAGGTATATTTTGTTCATTTTTTCCATATTTTAGGTTTGGTTAACGAATTTTAGCTCCAAAGTTTCTCCATAGATTTTAATGAGCGATACCTTAAACGACGCCAAATTAACGCACCTATACACAAAAAAATAGAGGACACAAGATATAATTTTTTTCGACTTTTCCTGAGTTTTTAAAATCAAAATTTCGTAAAAAATACCGCACAAAAATCATCATTTTTGCATTTCAATGCTTTATATTTCCCAGACGGTAAGCTGTAATCACAAAGTGTTTGGGCTTAACTTCTAGCTGTTTTAATTATCTTTTCAAAATAGCAAAGTTCTTTACAACCAGACGTAAGATACTAGAGCTATGTGAAAAAACAAGCGCTACCTCTAAAAAAGCTAAAAAAAAAAATACCAGACTCCAAAAATTCTTCAAAAAAAAGTTCTGCCATAGAAAAAAAAAAAATATCATCAAACCATTTCTAAGCCCCAAATCTTTAAGAAAAAGTTCGTTTTGTTCCTTGAGGAAAAATCGTGTTGACTAGTGTTATCAAAAAGAAAAGGAACTATTCAGGAATTTAGGCGGCAACAAAAATAGCACTGATTTCCAAAAATTAAAAAAAAATACAACTTTTAAAGAAGCTTTCCAAATTTTTCATTAAAGTAGGTTACTTTAGTTGTATTCAAAGGTTAATATTTTGTTGTAAAGCCTTTGGAAGCAACCACAGTGTCTCAGCGTCTTGTCATGAAAGTTCACCTCATTTTCGCATCTTTCCTGGGAGATATGGCTCCACCAATAATGCCTGATACCCCACGAATCAATATTGTTCTTTGGTTTCGTATTAGAAACATATTTTTTAGCTTTAGCGCAAAGATGTTTCATGGTGTTCATATCTGGCGACTAAGCAGGCCAATGCATTACATTAAATGCAATGATCTTGAACCACCTTCGAGCTTCCTTGCTGGTCTGTTTTGAATCATTGTCCTGATGGTAGGCACAAAACAACGGCATTTCCTATTCCATATAAGGCAGCATCGTTGTTTTCTAATATTTTAATATAGACATGTTGATCCATCATCTATTTGTGCCATGTATTGGACCACCTCAATAATACGAAAAGCATGCCCATGCAATGATACTTATCCCTGAGTGTTTAATGGTTTTATATATTAGCCAGGGGTTTTTATTCTGCATTAGGTGTCGTCATACATAAGATTGATAGCCTTTTCAACAAAAAAAAAAACAATTTGACTTTCTTCGGATCACATGATGTTTCTTTGGGACAACTCCAGTGCTATTTGCATAATGCACTCACTTTGCCCAATGGCTTTCTTTCTAAAGTGGATTTTTCCTCGGACTTTTGGCACTTAATTTATGTTCTTGTATGCAAGAAATAACTTTGCTCATCCTTGGCGATTTTTTAAGATCCTTTTTAGCTCTGTGGACGATTTATAAGGGTCCTTCTGGCTCTCATCTATCAGTAGTTTGACCGGAAATGGCGGTACCGCGGCTTTTATTCCGTGTGTTTTTTGTTGGTTGCATGTTTTAAAGCATTTTGATCTCAATGCTCAATGATCAACCAACAATTGGATTCACCTAAAGATAGGTGTCTCCTTCTGGAATAAAAGTTTTGATCCTCTTGCTTTTCTCTTACCTAAAGTGCTTTCTAAGGCCCAAAACTACTTTTATTTTGTTAAGTTCTTGCCACAATCTACTTAAGACACCGAATTTTAATTTAATTAAGATCATAATATATCAAAAAGCTCGGAAAAGTAAAAGTTTTTATAAAAAACCACTTTTAGTGCTATTTTTGTTGCCGTCCTATTTCGCTTCTTTTTTTGGAAAATGGTCTTTAGTAATAAGAACCGTTAGGAATTCGAGAGTAAGCACACTTCTATCAGAGAGGAGACTTGTAAACCTAATTGATATTATAGTCAAGGGCAAAATATGTTGGTTAGAGATCAGGCTTTGAAACAATAAAGACTGTGGTACCAAACAGTGCTATTATTTCTGCCGCAACTGTATGTTGTACGTTTTAATTCTGTTTGTGGTCGGAGCTGCACTACTTCCATCTGCGCTCAGAAACTGCAGCAGCAGCCCTTGTTGAAAAGCACACAAATATGGAGATGTAGCATTTGCATGGGGGCTTATTCCGGACATCAGCCTTATGATAGAACGGCCCACAAAAATCAATTCCAGTTGTGTGAAATGCGGGGTTCGGTTGGACACGATCAGTTGGCAAATCTCCCATCACGTGCTCAGCCAACTTTGGCTTTGCCCGGAAGCAACGGACGCATTTGCTTACGACGCTTGCCACCAATTTTCGACCTCCAACAGGCCAATACTTCTGACGAAGCGAGAAGCATGCAAGAATTTTTCGTGATAGAACGTTATGATTACCTTTGTGATCGGATGACACTTCGGCAGCAATATAGGGTGCTTTGCATCGTATGCTACGTTCGACTTTAGAAGCCTCCCGTCCACGCGAAGCAGTCCATCAGCATCGAGCAGCGGATGCAACGAAAGTAGGAAGTGGCCGGAAGTGGCTGGCCGGAAGTGCTTTAATGGCGATGAGTGCGTTGATCTCCTCAGCGAAATGAACTTTCTGGATACTTTTAATAAGCAAACGCGTGCCTCCGTCCAGCTCCTGTACGGTGAGCGTCGCACTTGAACGAATAATATCCTGGCTTCGAAGGGAGATAAAACGATTAATATATCGCTGTACTTGCTGTGACATGAGAGGTCCGTTACAACTGCTCCAACCAATGCCGTCTGTCTGCGTTCTGGTAGGTCTTCAGCCGTCTGAGCATGAGAAGGCCATCCTGACGAGTCCGATAACAGGTACGGTGGTCCATTTAGCCACAATTCCAAATCAAAAAGCTCTTTTGGAGAACATCCTCTTGACACTATATCTGCCGGGTTAAGATCCGTCGGCACGTGATGCCAACAGTGGAATTCGCAACGCGGCGGACAGTTCCAACTTGGGTATGGTTAGCGTCTTTAAAGGCGCTACCTTGGACTTCGAGCAGAGTAAGCGGGATGTGGTAAGTCCTTGGCTGTCCGATCTTATGTAAACGCAAGCTCCATATGCGGTTATGCTGGCGTCACAGAATGCGTGCAACTGGAGAGATGAGTTCGGGAGCATGACAAAACGAGGGAATTTATAGTTATGAATTATGCGTAATTGAGATGTCATGTCTGACCACACTGTCGACAAAGGTTCAGACAGTGCATCATCCCATCCTAGCTCCTCCTTCCATAAGCTCTGTAAGAATATTTTGGCTTTAGACAGGACAGAGCGTTTGGTGGGTGGGCCGTCTGGCATTATTTGCGAAAAATTGAACAACAGGCTATCTGAAGTAGGATCCCATACAAGCCCCAACGCCTTCGCTATGTCCGTTCCATCATGAAACTTGAGAAGCTTCTCCCTGTCTTCCTCCGGCTCCTCATCAAGCACCATAGGCTCATTGGAGCACCATTTGCGTATGGGAAAGTGTCCTCTATGCAGGAGATCCTTTACTTGTCGCCATATCACATTCACCTCTTAAATTGTGTCACCACCAGACATGAGATCGTCCACGTAGAAATCCCTTCTTACAACTTGAGCTCCTATAGGAAATGATACCTCCTCGTCGTACGATAGCTGGTGCATGGCACGAATGGCCAAAAAAGCGGCGGGCTTTGTTCCATACGTCACGGTCTCCAGCTTGTACACCTTGATTTCATCAGTAGGCGCTTCTCGCCAAAGGATGCATTGCAAATATTCATCCGGGTTCGATATCCGTACACAGCGATACATCTTGCAGATGTCTCCACAAAGTGCAATCTTGAAGAACCTGAACCGAACCAGTGTGTTGAATATTTTTGGCTGAATGGTTGGACCCGCCATCAACAAGTCATTTAGGGAACGCCCGGATGTGGTCTTTGCGGATCCGTCGAAGACAACAAGAAGTTTCGTGCTGCTGCTGTCGAGTTTTTGAACGCAATGATGCGGCAAGAAAAACTGTGCCAATTTCTGTGTGTTGGAGGCCAAAGACATGTGCCCTAAGTCTAGATATTCCTGAAGGAACGCGCTATACTGAGCCTTTAGTGACGGATTTCTTAGCAACTTTGTCTCAAGACCTTTGAATCGACGAAGAGTGAGACAGAATGAGTCGCCAAGGGCCTCAAAACCAGCAGAAGCCAAGAGCCGAACAGAATATTGACCATTTTCCAGCCGAGCACAGTTTTCCTTGAACAATCGCTCGCAGAGTGTATCCTCACTTGATGGAACTGCCTCCGATGAGTAACAGTTTTCAAGCTCCCAAAAACGCTTCACAACTTCAGACAGAGAATCCTCTTCTTCCTTTAGTATGTGCGGTCGAGCTGCCGCAGCCAGAGCGCAGCGATTGGTGATGTAGTTGGCCAGACCTCCAGAGACGATCCAACCAAGTTTGGTGTTCTGGAGCGACGGCAACCTTTCAGCCAACTGTATCTGTCCAATGCAGATCAAATCGAAAAATAGACCCGCCCCCATGAGCATATCGATTTGCTGAGATCTATAGAATAAAGGGTCAGCCAAGCTTATATTCTTAGGCAGATCCCAGCCAGCAGCATTAATGTCGCAATGCGGCTGATAGTCAGTGATGACCTTAGTAACAACTGCCGTGAAAGAAGACTTGTATCCACCATCCTGAGACTGCATAACAACTTCCACTGCCTTATTAGAGCTGAGCGACGATTTTCCAATGCCAGATATCGAAATGGGCGAATGACGATGATTTAGTTGTAGATGGCCAGCTGGACGGGACGTTATGAAATTGAGCTGAGATGCAGAATCAAGAATCGTTCGACAGGGCACCAGCGTTCCAGCTCGATTCCTAACCAAAACGATGGCTGTAGCTAGCAACACGTAATTGTTTGGGATACCGGCAATAGTTAAAGGGTGAGGTAAGGAGGTCGAGCATGAAATTAATGCGGATGTTTGATTTTGAGGCACGCTTTCCCCTACCGTGGTTGGTGAGGATGCAAACGGGTTTTGCGGCATATGGAGCAATGTATGATTCTTAATTTGACATTGCTTACAATTTCCTACTTGCACTGCTGCAACCCATGAACCTTGCGGAAACAATTGAGGCAGAGATGCATTTTCTTTGCTTCCTTGTACGGCAAGGTAGGTGCCAAATTCCAAAAAATGCTGCATTTAGTTAGGATGTGGTCCTTTCCGTCATTAATAGGATTAATATAAAAATTGTCGATCGCATCCGTTGAGCTCAAGGGAGCGGCGCGGAAACATATTCTGAGGAAAAGAGAGAAATTAGAATTATACAAGTCTTTGCTTCTAATTCGAATCAAATGAAGATTTCCTTTTTTTCATACCAGTTCAACGCCGCTTTGTAACTAACAAAGGGATTTTCTTTCTATCGTTTCCCTTTCATTCGGACTAAATCCCCATTACCGATAACTACATATAAAGGTTTACTTTTATGTTACATCTAGATAATAACGAACTATTATAATCATTTAGAAGGGTATTATTAAAAGAGTAAAAGGATGTAATGTTTAAAAATCGAGATCCATGATTTTACACATATGTATCACATGGCTCTCCAATTACTACTGGCGTCTGCACAGAACAATTGCCAATTTTTACAGTTTGAGAAGTACTATGATTCTCATGAAGAACTTACAGCCGAAAGCTTTGGCTGCACGCTTAATGCATAAGAGAGTAGGGTAACGAGTGTGGCTTATTGACTTCTTCGAATTCACATGTACACTGTTCTATTGGTTTCACTCAATCTACCCTCCTACTTTGTATATGAATGTAGATATACATCCAAGTATTTATTCAGCTAGCCTGTCTCTTCACTTTAGTCATTGTTCTCGGTTTGTTGTCGTTTGTTTATTTTGTAGACGATGATATGTAAGGTTCCTGGTGTTCCTGGGGAGATCCGAGGTCTCTCCCACGCTACCAGAACGGTCGATGGACTTTGCTGTTCCCGTTTTCGGTGAGTCGGGTAACAATCACTATGGAGAAAACAAGTTGGACTGAGCGATACCTTAAACGACGCCAAATTAACGCACCTATACACAAAAAAATAGAGGACACAAGATATAATTTTTTTTCGACTTTTCCTGAGTTTTTAAAATCAAAATTTCGTAAAAAATACCGCACAAAAATCATCATTTTTGCATTTCAATGCTTTATATTTCCCAGACGGTAAGCTGTAATCACAAAGTGTTTGGGCTTAACTTCTAGCTGTTTTAATTATCTTTTCAAAATAGCAAAGTTCTTTACAACCAGACGTAAGATACTAGAGCTATGTGAAAAAACAAGCGCTACCTCTAAAAAAGCTAAAAAAAAAAAATACCAGACTCCAAACATTCTTTAAAAAAAAGTTCTGCCATAGAAAAAAAAAAAAAATCATCAAACCATTTCTAAGCCCCAAATCTTTAAGAAAAAGTTCGTTTTGTTCCTTGAGGAAAAATCGTGTTGACTAGTGTTATCAAAAAGAAAAGGAACTATTCAGGAATTTAGGCGGCAACAAAAATAGCACTGATTTCCAAAAATTTAAAAAAAATACAACTTTTAAAGAAGCTTTCCAAATTTTTCATTAAAGTAGGTTACTTTAGTTGTATTCAAAGGTTAATATTTTGTTGTAAAGCCTTTGGAAGCAACCACAGTGTCTCAGCGTCTTGTCATGAAAGTTCACCTCATTTTCGCATCTTTCCTGGGAGATATGGCTCCACCAATAATGCCTGATACCCCACGAATCAATATTGTTCTTTGGTTTCGTATTAGAAACATATTTTTTAGCTTTAGCGCAAAGATGTTTCATGGTGTTCATATCTGGCGACTAAGCAGGCCAATGCATTACATTAAATGCAATGATCTTGAACCACCTTCGAGCTTCCTTGCTGGTCTGTTTTGAATCATTGTCCTGATGGTAGGCACAAAACAACGGCATTTCCTATTCCATATAAGGCAGCATCGTTGTTTTCTAATATTTTAATATAGACATGTTGATCCATCATCTATTTGTGCCATGTATTGGACCACCTCAATAATACGAAAAGCATGCCCATGCAATGATACTTATCCCTGAGTGTTTAATGGTTTTATATATTAGCCAGGGGTTTTTATTCTGCATTAGGTGTTGTCATACATAAGATTGATAGCCTTTTCCACAAAAAAAAAACAATTTGACTTTCTTCGGATCACATGATGTTTCTTTGGGACAACTCCAGTGCTATTTGCATAATGCACTCACTTTGCCCAATGGCTTTCTTTCTAAAGTGGATTTTTCCTCGGACTTTTGGCACTTAATTTATGTTCTTGTATGCAAGAAATAACTTTGCTCATCCTTGGCGATTTTTTAAGATCCTTTTTAGCTCTGTGGACGATTTATAAGGGTCCTTCTGGCTCTCATCTATCAGTAGTTTGACCGGAAATGGCGGTACCGCGGCTTTTATTCCGTGTGTTTTTTGTTGGTTGCATGTTTTAAAGCATTTTGATCTCAATGCTCAATGATCAACCAACAATTGGATTCACCTAAAGATAGGTGTCTCCTTCTGGAATAAAAGTTTTGATCCTCTTGCTTTTCTCTTACCTAAAGTGCTTTCTGAGGCCCAAAACTACTTTTATTTTGTTAAGTTCTTGCCACAATCTACTTAAGACACCGAATTTTAATTTAATTAAGATCATAATATATCAAAAAGCTCGGAAAAGTAAAAGTTTTTATAAAAAACCAATTTTAGTGCTATTTTTGTTGCCGTCCTATTTCGCTTCTTTTTTTGGAAAATGGTCTTTAGTAATAAGAACCGTTAGGAATTCGAGAGTAAGCACACTTCTATCAGAGAGGAGACTTGTAAACCTAATTGATATTATAGTCAAGGGCAAAATATGTTGGTTAGAGATCAGGCTTTGAAACAATAAAGACTGTGGTACCAAACAGTGCTATTATTTCTGCCGCAACTGTATGTTGTACGTTTTAATTCTGTTTGTGGTCGGAGCTGCACTACTTCCATCTGCGCTCAGAAACTGCAGCAGCAGCCCTTGTTGAAAAGCACACAAATATGGAGATGTAGCATTTGCATGGGGGCTTATTCCGGACATCAGCCTTATGATAGAACGGCCCACAAAAATCAATTCCAGTTGTGTGAAATGCGGGGTTCGGTTGGACACGATCAGTTGGCAAATCTCCCATCACGTGCTCAGCCAACTTTGGCTTTGCCCGGAAGCAACGGACGCATTTGCTTACGACGCTTGCCACCAATTTTCGACCTCCAACAGGCCAATACTTCTGACGAAGCGAGAAGCATGCAAGAATTTTTCGTGATAGAACGTTATGATTACCTTTGTGATCGAATGACACTTCGGCAGCAATATAGGGTGCTTTGCATCGTATGCTACGTTCGACTTTAGAAGCCTCCCGTCCACGCGAAGCAGTCCATCAGCATCGAGCAGCGGATGCAACGAAAGTAGTTTGCTCCTGGCTGGAAGTGCTTTAATGGCGATGAGTGCGTTGATCTTCTCAGCGAAATGAACTTTCTGGATACTTTTAATAAGCAAACGCGTGCCTCCGTCCAGCTCCTGTACGGTGAGCGTCGCACTTGAACGAATAATATCCTGGCTTCGAAGGGAGATAAAACGATTAATATATCGCTGTACTTGCTGTGACATGAGAGGTCCGTTACAACTGCTCCAACCAATGCCGTCTGTCTGCGTTCTGGTAGGTCTTCAGCCGTCTGAGCATGAGAAGGCCATCCTGACGAGTCCGATAACAGGTACGGTGGTCCATTTAGCCACAATTCCAAATCAAAAAGCTCTTTTGGAGAACATCCTCTTGACACTATATCTGCCGGGTTAAGATCCGTCGGCACGTGATGCCAACAGTGGAATTCGCAACGCGGCGGACAGTTCCAACTTGGGTATGGTTAGCATCTTTAAAGGCGCTACCTTGGACTTCGAGCAGAGTAAGCGGGATGTGGTAAGTCCTTGGCTGTCCGATCTTATGTAAACGCAAGCTCCATATGCGGTTATGCTGGCGTCACAGAATGCGTGCAACTGGAGAGATGAGTTCGGGAGCATGACAAAACGAGGGAATTTATAGTTATGAATTATGCGTAATTGAGATGTCATGTCTGACCACACTGTCGACAAAGGTTCAGACAGTGCATCATCCCATCCTAGCTCCTCCTTCCATAAGCTCTGTAAGAATATTTTGGCTTTAGACAGGACAGAGCGTTTGGTGGGTGGGCCGTCTGGCATTATTTGCGAAAAATTGAACAACAGGCTATCTGAAGTAGGATCCCATACAAGCCCCAACGCCTTCGCTATGTCCGTTCCATCATGAAACTTGAGAAGCTTCTCCCTGTCTTCCTCCGGCTCCTCATCAAGCACCATAGGCTCATTGGAGCACCATTTGCGTATGGGAAAGTGTCCTCTATGCAGGAGATCCTTTACTTGTCGCCATATCACATTCACCTCTTAAATTGTGTCACCACCAGACATGAGATCGTCCACGTAGAAATCCCTTCTTACAACTTGAGCTCCTATAGGAAATGATACCTCCTCGTCGTACGATAGCTGGTGCATGGCACGAATGGCCAAAAAAGCGGCGGGCTTTGTTCCATACGTCACGGTCTCCAGCTTGTACACCTTGATTTCATCAGTAGGCGCTTCTCGCCAAAGGATGCATTGCAAATATTCATCCGGGTTCGATATCCGTACACAGCGATACATCTTGCAGATGTCTCCACAAAGTGCAATCTTGAAGAACCTGAACCGAACCAGTGTGTTGAATATTTTTGGCTGAATGGTTGGACCCGCCATCAACAAGTCATTTAGGGAACGCCCGGATGTGGTCTTTGCGGATCCGTCGAAGACAACAAGAAGTTTCGTGCTGCTGCTGTCGAGTTTTTGAACGCAATGATGCGGCAAGAAAAACTGTGCCAATTTCTGTGTGTTGGAGGCCAAAGACATGTGCCCTAAGTCTAGATATTCCTGAAGGAACGCGCTATACTGAGCCTTTAGTGACGGATTTC